TATGTTAATGATGTGAAATTGTTTTCTTCCTTTTTCGTAGAATCGCAATCACATCATCTTTAAAGTGATTTGAATAATTTGGTTGCATGGTGCTCTTAGAATCTTCTGAAACTAAACCTAAATAAATGTAAGAAACTTTCTCTCTCGAGAAGGAAGTCATTCATTGCTCACTATTTCATCGATTCGCACAAGTTGAAGGACGTCGATTCGTTCACAGATTTAGGCGTTCTATTTGACCATACGTTACATTTTAATTTGCATATTGAGGTCTCGTTAAGCAATGCCAGGTTCGCGCTTGATTTTATAAAGATGTGGTGCAAAGAGCTTGATGATCCTTATATTACAAAACGGGTTTACACGTGTTTGGTTAGACCTATACTTGAGTATGCCTGTGTTGTGTGGTCTCGTTCATATAGGTGCTACGTAGATCTGTTCAAAAGCAATTGTTGCTGTTTGCCCTTAGGAATTTGGGTTGGGACCCGATTGCCCCTCTTCCACCCTATGAAAAGAGATTGCTTCTGTTATCCTTACCGTCACTGGAGAAACGTAGATTTGTTATCGAGGTTTCCTTCCTGATCGAATTAATAAATGGTACAATTGACTCGCCCGCATTACTTCGTGAGATAGGCTTTAATGTCCCTAACCGCTTCTCTAGGCACTTCATATTGATAAAGCTTAGTCAATGCAAATATAATTACGAAACTGTTTAACCCGCTCAGAGTTGTTTGTAAAAACCTAAATGACGTCTGTCATTTATCTCATTAACGGACTCTTTAAAGTCCATTAAAGCAACATTGCTTAATACGTGTGGTTTACCTATGTCGTACTTTAACTAACTTTTAACCTTAAAAAGCGGCCATGATTCGAAAATTAATTGTTGTTAACTATTATCGGTTGCCAAGCTTATGCATGTTTGCGATGGCTTAGGGGTTCATTCGCAATTTGGTCCTGTACCGGTTGTAAATGTGGCTCTATGCTGATAGTATATATGCTTTTTTTTCTTTTTTTTTCTTCTTATTTGTTTTATTATACTTATACTAAATTTTATTATTAATTAATATAAATTTTGCATTATGAGCCAATTGAAGTCGACTGTTATTTGTTTAGTTGAGTTTCTTGTATAAGTAGAATTAAAATAAATAAATAAATAAATACAATAAATAAATAAATACAATGTATATATGAGAAATGTCCTACCTTAAAGATATAATATTTTTGATGAGTAATTATGTTATAAAAGACAAACACGGCAAATGGATTTGTACAAAAAATTCAAAGTATATTTGGACGTTTGAAGTGAGTTTATTGGTTGATAAAAGAAAAATCGAAAATAATGTTTGTCCACCACAGCAATTTTTAAAATAATTAAAAGTTTAAAAAAATATAAGGACAAGTTAATATCAGCCAATAGCAAAAATAATTTGGCGGGAACGAGAGAAGTTAATAAATAGATAATAATGGATAGTAAGGTTTGCCTTGTAAATGCAGAGATGTGGGTAAACTTACTAAAAAGCGTTCCAATTCAGGGAATGAGAAACCCATTAAATGAGAGCGGAACTTCATACACACACAAACGAAATGGCAATAATTAAGTAAGAAAAAACTGAACAGAACGCTTCCAAATGCAATTTCTCTTGTGTCATAAAGTCATTCTTTAGCTTCTGCGGAAACGTTAACAATTTTATTGTCATTAGAATTAATAAGTATGTATTAAGTTGACTTATAATACCATTCATTACGCCAAGTGTAAATGAATTAAAACACCCAGCATTAAAATATTTATAATCTTGACGAGTAATGGTTGAGGAACTCTAAAAAGTTACTGTTTTGATATATTTGATGATATATGTATATTACATTAACTGAGACAATGATTTATAAGTCGAGAATGGTAGAATATTGACACAATGAGATTGTCTGCATAAATACAGTGTTTAAAAAACAAGGAGATCATATCAGACGCAGTTTGTGCTGTAAATGGGCTGAAAATCAAACAAAATCGGGGTTTAACGAATGGAAAAGTTGGAATAAGTTTGTCTTTAACAGTATGAATAAAATGAAGAAAAGAAAAATCAGTTTGCTTTTTTTCTTTTTTGAATACCGAATTAACTAGATCAAAAGAAAATTTTGAAAAACTAAGGTCTATAATTGGTTTGATTTGTTGGAAATGGATATTATTATGTTCGTGAAAAGAGAAATATTGTCTAAAAAACTATATATATAACCGGGGAGAGCTAAATAAGTCTACCGAAAATTTTAGTAAGCACTGTAAGAGAACAGAAACCATGAAAAGGAAAACATTTTTAAAAATTATAAGAGGGTGCGCTTGTATAAAAGGCCTCCATCAATTTGCTTATATGTTTGGACTAATCTGGATTCAATCGCGTTAAAATCTACCTCAGCTTCTTCATTAAGAGGAATCTTTCTTTCAACAATTAGTAAAAAAATCTAATGATGTCTGGAATATGGCGTTTGAAGAAAACGATGAACGAAAGAAAAACAAATTTTCTGTTACTTATAGAGAAGAGCATCTTTATTTTTCAAACGAATATACCGGATTATCTAACGACCATGATTGCAAAGTACAGCAAGCCCCCCGTTTTTCAAACGTATATAATCGTTTACACACTGTTGTGTCACAAACGTAATACGCTAGAATCACGTCGAGGTCGTCAACATGTTGTGTCAAACACACACATACAGTGTTGGCGATCGCAATGCCAGTTTGGGCAATAGTAATCAAACTACCAAAGTAACAGGGTGCCTAATTGGTTGGTATGATTCGACTAAACGTTTCGTCAGGTCGCACCAACTTATTTGGATTATTTCTTCCAGCACTTGAACCGGCAGAAGCAAGAAAGACAACAAAAAGGCAATCCATGTAAGCTACGACAATGACAAAGTTTTATTCGTAAAAGATAGATTATAAATTACAATTTCTATAAAGTAATGTAGAATTATTCTACTACGTACTACAATAAACCAATATTAAAAAATGATGCACTTGCATTTTTGCGTTTGTATACTTCAGAAATATGAACAGCTTCAAGCGTGTCACAAAAATGCAACATGGAATACAATGGATTATGTAATCAGCGGTATTGCAGTCTATGGTCAGTTATATCAAAACAGACAAACATGATTGTGCAAATGCAAGGGCATGAGCAACGTTATATTAATAGGTGCATAAACATGGATGTGCAAATAAAAAATACAAATATATTGAATAAAGGTATATACTTAAACTAAACATTCTCCACAATCTTGACCAATCGGCCAACTACTAACTTGGTTGTCCGTGCGTTATTAGACGTGAACTATTAAATTCGAATTGGCAGAAGTACGAGGAGCTGGAGTTGGTGCTGCTTCATGTTGTGGAGCGTCATGGTTTAATGCAGCGGTAATGTGTGCAACTACCTTCTTGAGGACAACCATACTGCAGGATATGATGATCAATGCTGAGTATCCCACCTTAGAATTATAATTCGAGCTATCATGATGTTGAATTTTGGTTGCTTGTACGACTTCCAGCTTGCGTTGAATTGTTCCTAGCTCAGTTACCTGATCGGCATAGTGGTTGGATAGTACTTAATAGTTGAAAGTTGCGATGGAGCTGTCATTGATGAAGTCGTGTTGTGACAGATCTGACAGTTCTCCAAGACTTGTATATGTTGACATCAATGTTGTTGTTGTATTTGTGGCCTGAGATATGGACGGAGTCATGTTGAAGAATATATTCTGGTTCTATAGTTAATAACTCAGAACCTTTCAAATTCAGTGGAATTATGTCCCTGTCACATACAGCAATTGTTGTGTGCTCGTCCTCGTTCCATTTATTGTGAGTCTTTTCAGCGGGCAATTTAGCAGCGTGAGGTTGTTGAATAGGTTGATCTCACATTTACATTTTTAAGCGTTGAAGTTATAATGGAGTTGAACTTTACGGCATATTAAAGACTCTTATGCCAAGATGTCGCTAGAAATGAGTTGAGAAGGTGAGACCAAAAAATAACGTTCTCTGTTGATGTTTATAGCCAGCAGAAAGCTACAAGTTTCTATTACTACTATGTTGTTGTTTATGTAGTTGGGAACAGGCACTAATTTGTAAATTTTAAGTTTATCACAATTGATTAATGGCAACGTTATGTTGAATACCACGTTATTGCTAGTGAGTCCACCCTTGATCTTCATTAATTTGTAGAGTTCCAACAGATCGTATCCTGATGCAGGTAGCTCCAATGATTGAGGCAAGTGGATTTTGATTTGCCTAATCTCGGTTTCGACTTATGCTGGTGTTAGTAATAACGGATTTTTCCATGGTAGGTATCAATCAACGCATCCAGAATATATGTTTGTATTCTTTGAAATCTATTAGCTATGAGTGTTAACTGCATAATGACCAAATTGGAAAGCTAGGTCAATTTGATTTGATATAACTCGTAATGAAGTACCTGTTCACCTGTTCATTTTGTTAATCTGAATTTGCTGTTGAATTGACGACTGATGTTTGATCCTTCAGAAATTCAAGTGCAAATGAATCGCTCTGTTGTAATTTAGTGATTGTTGTTGTCATCTTTTCGGCATATGTAGAGTCAAGTATCCCGAACAATAAGTGTGCGGCGTTTCCAACCAAGTCTATTGCACCTCTTTTCTTTCGTGATCTGTGCAGTAAGCTGTTGTCGAGGTTCAAATCAGTTTCCATGTGTTGAAAATGTTCCATAGCGTGTAAATATGAAAGATTTGGTTTCATATTTGTGCAGAAATTTCGCAGATGATTTCATATCGTCCCAGTAGCTTGAGAAATAGTAATGCACAATTATATTTCAATGACTTGTGGATATGGTAGTGGAACCTATTTCGGACGGTGTCTTCCATTTATGTGTTTGCTGTAACTCATGAAGACATTCATTTCACCATCTTTTCCAGAATTCGTGTTTGACTTGAAAAGCGAGTTCCCATCTTGACAGAAATGAGAGGTTCTTGAAACTGGCTTCTGTGTCAACTTAACCTGTAGGAGCTTCACCAATTAATAAATGTTCAGGAGTTAGGGCGGGAATATCAAATGGATCGTTGGACATGGGTGTCAAGGGACGCGAATTTAAAATTGCTTCTTTTTCAATAAGCACAGTTTCCAATTCTTCAAAAGTTAATGATGCTGAGCCCACACTACGGATCAGAAGGCGTTTTGCTGATTTAACGGCTGCTTCCCATAAGCCTCTAAAGTGAGGTGTCCTGGGTGGGATCAAGTGAAATTGTATTCCCTTTGAAGTGCAGGTTGATGTGTTTCCCATTTTCGAAAGATATTGTACTAGAGAGTTCTGATAACTTGTTGCTGGCGCCAACAAGGTTTGTTGCATTGTCACTATAAATATTTTGACAGCGTCCTCTCCAGCTAATAAAACGTTAAAGTGCTCCTACAAAGGCCTCAGTTGAATGATCACTTACTAGTTCAGAAGGAGTATTGGGTGTGTCGTGTAATATGGAAGAGCGAATTCTTGTAATCGCCCACCTACTAGAATGACTCCGTTGTCATCAAGAAACGGAGACATTGTGCAGATTGGACTTTGTTTTCCAATCGGTTGATGGTTCTGCAATTGTTTGATTTCATTTGGAAGTCATAACTATGAATAGCATGAATTAGTACAGCTTTAAGTTCCTTGGTGGTGAGTGCTGTAAGATCCGGGTTTGAGGAAAGTCTGGGTGAAGATAATCGGATGAAGCGAAGTACATAGGACATGATTCGCTACAGTATGCCGAATGAACCCTTGTGATCGATATTGTAAACTAACTCGTAATTGCATTTGGTTGTGAGTACCATAATGGAGTCCCTTTTGTGTTCAAGGTCGGTAGGAGCTTAGAGTTGTGGCAGGACGGGTGTCGGCCAACGTTCTTGGCTGCTGTGTAGAAATAATGGTCCAAGAAACAACGTTTGGCTTTCTGCTATGGCCTTTGCCGATAGTCCCCTTAAGAGAATGTCTGCTGGATAATTTCGGAAGCGTTTGTTTTTTGATGGGTGCTACTCGAGATTTTGCACATAGTGAACGTTCCATGATTGTGCCGTCTTTAAAAATGGCTCGGATGTATGCCGCAGTTCCAAATGCGTTTTCGGAAGCATCAGCAAAGACGTGCAACTGAATTGTTGTTAGAAGGTTGCCAGGTCGGATATTATTTGGTCGTTAGTGAGAAAAATCGGAATCGATGCGATAGATTGGATTCCGATTCTTCTCAAGAAAAATCACATGCTCCTGCTACTTGTCATGAAACTCTTTTTCTTTCCTCGCCGCTGAGGATTTAAATTTTTCTTAGACAAAGAAAAAAAATATAAAAAAAATTCACAATAGAAGGAAACGTCGCGTCGGTTGTCTAGCGTCCGTCTGTCTAACCGTAAGTCCGTCTGTCACCGTCTGGAGTCTTCCCTAACGTGCCAT